GTTGTATGGATTGGGCGAAACGGCGAAGGCGCGATTGGGTACATCTACGACATGTGGCGGACGGCGTTGGGCTCCCATCTGGTTCAATGTCGTGCTCAAGGCAATAATAGAGCTCCCAACAAAAATCGCCAACATTGAATCCTGCCATGACCGATGTGTAAGCTGACGATCTCCCTCAGTTTTTCTCTTCTCTAAATTTGCAGCCGCTTGAAATCTTTCTTTCTGAGAGACGACCACACAACGATAATTTTTTTCTTCAAAATGTATTTTATTTGGATAGTTTTTGCTTTTGATTTTGAGTTTTTTTTACTTTGAAACATAAATGTTAGATACTTTTTTCGTTCCAAAAGGATTTTGTGCGGCTGTTTCTTTTGCATTTCTTATTAGATTATGATTTTAGATTTGTGGAGACAATCCTTCAGTGTATAGACTGGGTTTTTGCAAAAAAAGCTGAATTAATAGAAGGGCTTCTTAATAGAATACATGCAAATTTCAGAATTTAACTTGGAGTCTAATTAATTTTGGATAGTGACCACTGTGATTCAATTTATACAATTCATCTGCCCCCAATTCCTATGTGATGCTTTCTATACTTATGCTAGCTTTCTCTATCTACTCTTGAATTGTTTGCTCTGTGGATTTTGGGCACACTTATGGATAATGTAGATACAGTTTCCCAGGTCTCTCAGATCAACTAACTCTTTTCATGATGATGTATATGCTGCATTTTTGTTCCCAAATACCAATATTTCCAAATTTTCTTATTTCATTTGGTAATTATAGGATGAGTGCACTGTTATGTTTATAACTGAAGTTCATTTGAGCACTTAATGTTTCAAAATTTTCTTGGCCTTTCTAAGTTGTTTGAGCACTTATGTGAATGAATTGTGGTATTGAATTCCAAGTAATTTTCATTTTGCAGGTAATTTGGATGAGAAGGTAACTCATAAGGTGTTGTATGATATTCTTATTCAAAGCTGGCCATGTGGTTGACCTGTATGTGCCCCGTGATAAGGATTCTGATAAGCCAAAAGGGTTGTGTAGCTGCGAGCGGGGAGGCAGGCTGTGAGGGGTTGCACAGAGAAGAGGGGTTGTGACTGGGCTTGGAGGGGGCTGGGGGATGGGGAGTCAAGTCAGGGTGGAGCAGTGGTCAACACGGTTGGTCGGCAGTGGTGTTGGTCACTGGAAGGTGGCAGTGGCTGGGAAGGTGACTGGGGCTGGGGAGTCAAGCTGGGGTGGGGTGGTGGCCTGCGGCGGTGGTACATGGTGATGGTCAGTAGTGGTGGTCCAACATCATGCTTGGCGGTGGAGCTAAGCGGGGTACGCTGGTGACAGAGCTGTGAGGAGCAGGGGAATGATGGGGAGACGACGTGTCACTATGAGTCTATGACCGGAGTCGGCGTGTCACTATGACGGTGTCACCGTGACGGTCCTGTCACTATGGTGGTGTCACTGGTGGCAGTCGTGTCACTGTGGTGGTGTCACCAGAGGCGGTGTCACTGATGGTGGTGTCACTGTGGCTGACACGTTGACGGGCGGTAAACACCGTGGAATCGAGTAACTATGATGGCGTCACTGTAAAATTGTCTTAGAGGTGTGTCACTGTAAAATTGTCTTAGTGGTGTCACTGTAGCTTCGTCACTGTAGCAATGTCAGTGTATCAAACATCACTGTACCACGCAGTGTAGCTCAAAATTTTATTGGCCGGCTTATGTGCATATATGTCTAAGAGATATTAGGAGTATTTCATCTTAAAATCTTAAATATGTAAAAATACCTTTCCCACTACTTCAACAAGAGAATATTGTTGCATTGTCTAAATGCACATGTCCAATGTTAAGAAAAAATATCCCTTATATTACTGGTAGTGCTTTTACATGTCCCTTTGCCATGCTTCAGAATCGACCTGTTGTGCCACCGCTCTTATCGTCGCCTCTATCTTTGAGGTCACAAATCCATTGTCAATGACTATAATGTCACAATTCCATTAGTGATTCTACCCAAGCCACCACAAATCTCTTAGTGACTCTCCCAAACCGCCGTTGTAGTTGGTGATTTTAAGATCTTAAATCCATTCATGACCTCACCAAAGTCTAAGCAAATATTAATGATACTGACCACATCATAAGTCGATGTATTGTTGGTATTTTAACCTCAAAAACTCAATTAGTGTAGTCACAATTAATTATTATTATTCCCTCTGTCGACTAACATTAAGACATGAGAACATGGTGCAATTATTATGAAAAGTGAATTTGTGTGGTTGCTTTCATTGCTTTTATGTTTGTTCTGGTCATTAACGGAAAGTCTCAATTAAAATTATAAGCAGTTATCTATTAAGGAAGAAGAGAGTAGTGGTCTAGTGTTTGAGTCAGTTTCGTTGGATGCCGGTGGCGGGACAGGGAATGTCCCACAATTTTCTGTTGTTGCTGGGGTAATTACGGACAAATTCGTCTGCTCTCTTTCTTTTCGTGAGACGATGGAATTGGTCTGGCTCCTTGGTAGGAGAGTAAGCATAGAGCAAATTGGTGACACACGTTTTTTGATTCAATTTTATGATCATGAGAGTGATATTTCGCAAGTGATTCAAGATGGCTCATGGTCTTTTAAACAAAATCTAGTAGTTATGAGGTGAGTTGACGTGGCCGATAGACCTATTGAGATTGAGCTGAACCATACTGAGTTCTGGGTTCAGATCCATAATCTACATCTCAGTTTTATGATAGAGAAAGTTGTGATGGGTGTTGTTAGTTATCTAGGAAGCCTGGTGCAAATTGACGAAAACACTATTATAAGGGGGGAGTTAGTAGAGAGTATGTTCGAAATGCATTTTCCATCAACATTAACATTGCACTGAAAAGGACACATGTCAAAGAAGAGGGAGACAACTAGTTCTGGATAGAGTTTAAATATGATATACTCCCAAATTTTCGTTTTTAATTGTGGGGTGCTTGGACATGTTGACCGCTATTACCCATCAAATGCACGATCAAGACCTTGGATTGGGGAGAAGCCCGTGGAGGGGTACATCTAGGAGAAAACATCAATAAGAAACAGCTGATTATATTGAATCACCAATTGGGGAAGTAGAGACTCGTTTCTGCTTAGTCCATGGATCAACTTCAAAAAGAAAAGAGAAGATGAGTGTCGTGGAAGAGTTAGATAAGGACATAGTCCCGAAATAAGGAGAGACAACGAAATATGGAGGTCAATGACAGGGGGGTAAAAAAAAACAAGATGGTGATGCTCCCTAGGCAGCAGCACTTGGATTTCTGATGAAGCTCGAGAGAGGAAGCATTCATTTTATATGAAGCACTTGGATCACTCATGCTGGAATTTTCGTATACTTGATAGAATTTCATTAGAATATGAAGGAATCAATGGATTTTTATTCAAATTCATAAACTCTTTCGGTCCTAAAAAAATTAAATTCTATGTTCAGGACACCATTATTTCATTAAACACAACCAAATAGAATCAGACAATAATAATGTATGAATATATCAACCATATATTAAATGTAAGGAAAAATTGATAGTAATAATCCCAACTATTGATGGTCCGCCCATAATAATCCCAACTATCGATTATTTCAGAATAATCCCAACTTTAGGGACCTTCCGTCAATAATGGTCCCTATAAATAAATTTTCGTAGTTTCTAAAGTGGATGGGAAGAGATATAACAAGTAATCCCTATAAATAATCTCAACTTTTAATTTTATGCTTAATTTCTTTTTAAAATTCACTTTTTATAGGAGGTAATATCTGTTCATGGATCATTATTAGCAGATGGTCCATATAGTTGGGATTATACAAAAATAATCAATAATTGGGATTATTATCAGCGGACCAGCAATAGTTGAGATTATTATTTTCAATTTTTCCTAAATCTAATTAAACATTTAGGATATTACACTATATTTAAGGAAATTAGAATAGAAGAAAATCAAGTCAAAGAGATATGCCATACGAATTTACGAACCGCCCGGTCTCCCTGCTTAGTCATGGCAACGGGGCGGATCGGGGACGGGTACACATAAAACCGAAACCGCCCCGTTGGATAAATGTTTGCCCCAAAACCGCCCCATTACCCGTTCGGGTAATTTTTATTTGAACCGTACCCGCCCCAACGGGGAATCGGTTTATCCACGGGTAACCGTTTCCCCAAATGATACTAAATAATCAATTTTTTTTGGAAAATAAATAACCAATTTCGAATCCTACTTGTTATTTTATATATTCAAAGCACTCTAAAACATACAAAACTAAATATTTAAGCAATCAAGTAGACTGGCCTAAATTCATTAGTATGACATGCACCTAATATCTCTTGTAACATAATAAAAAAAGTACTAATCATCCCAGAATCCAAATTCCAAAAACAAGTTTAGACCAATATTTAATTTTAGGCCTAAAAAAGTGGTATGCTTTTTAGCATTATTTATATGATATACGACAGTATACCACTTAGGGGGTGTTTGGAACTGATTCTGCTTCTGCTTCTTTTTTAAAAGCAGAAGCAGAATCAGAATCAGTTTTCAGAAGCTGGTACCCCCCAGCTTCTAAAAAAACTGATTCTGAGAGTAAATTAGAGCTCCAGAAGTGCTTCTGGAATTTCACCCAAACACTCCAGCTTCTGCTTCTACTCCCTGAAGGAGCAGAATCAGTTTTGAGAATCAGATCCAAACACCCCCTTAGTATACATAATTTAGCATATATACTTATTATTCTTATATATAAAAAGTTATAATTCATTAATAATGTTACAGATCGGGTAACGGTGCGGGTACCGCACCATTAGTGAACGGGGTGGTTTCGGGGCGGATAACGGAGCAGATTAATATAGAACCATAACCGCACCATTAACCATTTTAAAAATTCGGGTATTACCCGCCCCACATCCATTCCCCAGTCAAACCGGTTTTCCCCAATTTGACCAAATCGGTTCGATGCGGATATCCAACGGGTCGGTCTAAATTGCCATCTCTACTCCCTGCACTATTCTTTGTATTGCTATATATAAACCTTTCTTACTTCAACAAGACATCCATTCCTCATCATCTCTGTCAATTTCTATTCCAAAGAAGGGCTAACTTTCTCTCTCCATCACAGCCGCCATTAAACCTTAGATCAATAAAAAGCTGATCTCCTTATTTCGGTGAGTATTGGAATTTTTAGGACTATTTTTGATGCATCTATTCTTCATTTTATTCTTCATTTCTACTATATGTATATAGATTTCCCGAGCTTCTCTAGACTGTATATTTAGAGGCAGTTATAGCTACTGTTTCGAAATAATCATCAATTGCATATAATATGGAGTAATAGAATCAGCTATTAGGAAATAGTTGAATCTACTGCATGTTCGAATTGGAAAGTGTTCGCATTCTGCCCCATAATTGGATCGGATATGCCATTAAAGCAGTAGCAGCGATGATAAATCATGCCTGTTGCAATGGAAAATTAGCAATTGAGCTTGTCTGCCACTGTAATTTGGCAGGGAATGATGATTTTTATGTGTTTCCTGTTTTATAAACCCCTGTGACACCCCCTTTTGCAGTTGTGCTGTCTGACAGATTCATTTAGTAAAATGATACCGAGTATCAGGTTCATGTACAGTGTTTAATGGGCAATCAAGCATGTTTTTAAAGGACAGCTTTTATTTAAATCACAATGGTGGATCAAAAACGATAATTCCGTCCATTTATGATCCACTAAAGTTCATTAACAAATCAAATCGATGCCCGATCCACTTAATCAATTCATCCATATTCTTATTACTTTTCATGTTAGAGATGATTGATCACTACATAAATTGAGTAAGCATTCTGAAGTAATCAAATGAGTATTATATCATTATTTGGGCCAATTATCAGCATTTTTTAATCTCATTATTGTTTAGATGCACTAGAAATTGATTATTTTTTAATCAATTATTGTTTAGATGCCTTAAAATCTTTTGGGAATAAGGCTTTGGATGTTGTTGTTGTATTGTTTAGATGCAGTACTCCTTTTTGTCTCCATTTGCTGATAAATTTCTTCTTGTAATAATTTTCAGCTAAAGGTTGTCAGTTGGAACAATCAAGTTTTCTAACATCATCTGAATGGCTGTTGATCAGTATTTTGGACATGAACTGAGATCAATCTCAGAAGCAATAGAAGGGTCTGAGAAGAAGACTTCTGCTTGCTTTGACTGTAATATTTGCTTGGATTTTGCAAATGATCCTGTGGTCACACTATGTGGACACCTTTATTGTTGGCCATGCATCTACGAGTGGTTCAACGTTCAGGATCGTTCGGACAATCATCTTCAATGCCCCGTTTGCAAGACTGAACTATCACTTACATCTGTGGTTCCTCTCTATGGCAGTGGCAAAAAGGTGTCTGAATCTGATCAGGAAACCAAACTTTCTTCCCTAAAGGTACCTCCAAGGCCATCTCCTCCATCCTTGACGGTCCCGACCTCTCCAAGGCTTTCATATCTTAGTAGTAATTTCAATCACGGGCCTGTAAATAATGCATCGCCCTCATTCAGCCTTGGAATGAATCAGAATGTGGAGATTGTGTATGGTAGGGTGTTTGGGAACTCGGGAGGCATGTATTCATACCCGCTTTCGGGAAATGGCAGCCCGAGGTTGAGAAGGCAAGAGATGCAGGCGGATAAGTCACTAAACAGGATAACAATTTTCCTTTTTTGTTGCCTCTTTCTATGCCTACTGTTGTTTTAATTTCATCCAATTTCTATTGGAGTGTACACAATGTGTAAAAAGATCCGATTCGGATCAGGGAATTATACTGATGGTGTAGTGTTCTTTCACGGTGGTTGTGCGTCCATTTTGATTGATATACAATGCTACGACTTGTCATAAAAAAACTTCAACTGTTCTTCATTTTTACAAAATGCTCCTGTATAATAAAAAATAAAGGATCATGATCCTTTATTCCTGTACAGGCAAAAGTTTGTTTCTGTGACTGTCCACCGGAATTTGATCATATCTTTACGGATTGAATTCGGGTGGATTGAGATCCCATTCGATCTTAATCTTATAGCCAACAATGGGGTGTGTTTGTCCAGGCTGGGCAGCTTAGAGCCTGAAGAGCACCAACACTTTACATAGCTCGTGTTTAGCTGCTAGGCAACCGGAAATCGTGTTTAAGAGTAGAAAACTTTATTTCCCATTTGAGTCATTTTCGTAGTTAAAAAGATTTAGAGACATGTTTTTCTAAACAATTGGCGTTTTGTAAATATTGGTTCTGAGTTACCAATTTCCCTGTGGCTTGTAGAAGGAAATTAGTGTTTGTATATTAAATTTCTAGGTTGATGTTTATATGGGATTTCTTCACAGCCAAGTGATATGGTGCTAACTGTTAAGAAATATATTGTGTTTTATTATTTATGCAATACGAACTCCATGCCTAAATAAAATTTAAAAAAATTTAGGCACACAAATGTAGAAAATGAGATTCAATACCTAACTTACCTGAAAAATCACGTAAAGTTGGAATAGTGAATTGTAGGTTTAAATAAAGAAATTTTACATCTATCCTACTAAGACTAACATATAAAAATTTGACAAAATGAGAGATTATGTGATAGGGGTATTACGGAGTAAATCACTAAAATTTGAAGAGGATAAACAAATTTGAAACACATACTCCTCTGTCTCACTTCTTCCGTTGCTGAATCGTCTTCCAAATTTCTTTTTTCGACATCTCAAAGTCAAAATAATCTTCTATTTCCCTTTTGATAAAAAAATATGGTTCACATCAATTCATACACATTTCTCCTTTCTCTGCAAAACTCTCTATCACACAATACTTACTATCTTAATCTCCGTGTCAAATGTATTTTGTAAGATAATTTAGAGATGAAGTGAGTAACTAAAAATATGACGAAGGTGATGACACAGAGAGATAAAGTATGTGTAACATATAACTGATATAAAATCTGCATGGATAGCTTAGTTGGTTGAGTGGTAGGAAAATTAAAAGAATGACCAAGGTTCGAAACCAACAACGACCGCATAAAGGTTATAGCTCATGCGTACTTGACTAGACCTCTGATGCGCACGAGCGCACAAGTATAAGACCTACCACTATTAGGCTGATCTGAATGGGATATGTGATACCCTTGGAAGGTGGAAGGGAGGATTCAACCTTCTTTGGAGAAATATAATTCATATAAAAATTACTCCCTCCGTCCCATAATTATCTTCATTCTTTCCTTTTTGGTCCGTTCCAAATTTATCTCCTCTTTCCCTTTTTAGCAAAGGATTTGTGGTTCACAACCATTCTTACACATTTCTCTCTCCTCTGCACAACTCTCCACCACACATTTCCCACTTTCTTAATCTCCGTGCCCAGTCAAAACCGAAGTTAATTCTGGGAGGGAGGGAGTAGCAAATAAATGTCATGTTATTCTGTTGGACGTTTCCAATTTGGCCTTGTTTTCTAAATTAATCATATCCACGTAATGGATAAAGCATGCCACAGTGTAGGAGTATACTACGTATGTCGAATGAGAGAATGGTCCACCCTACATCTTTTGAATATTCTAAACCATATTCCATCAGTTGTCGGGGTATTATTGTTGAAGCAAATGCCCGCCGCTAGTTTTGGGTAGTTATGGATTCCCCACGTCACCCTTCACATCTTATTCCCACTCGTCTTCACACTTGTCTGGTCTAGGATAGCTATCATGGTTTGAGGTAAGAGTCATTTTAATATACTTCCTCCGTCCCTATTATATCTTCCAAATAGATTTGACACAGAGTTTAAGATAGTGGGTATTGTGTGGTGGAGAGTTGTGCAGAGGAGAGAGAAATGTGTAAGAATGACTGTGAACCACAAATTCTGGTCAATAGGGAAAGTGGAAGTTTTAATTGGGGCGGACGAAAAAGGAAAGTTGGAAATTTATTTAGACTTATATGAAATGGAGTGAAGAATATTATATTGCATTTGATCTTTTTAAGTACACAAACTCGGCTTTTTAGTGTTAATATGGATGAGTTTGCTAACAGAAGGCTAATAAGTCGACTCCTGAAGATTGATGCCAACCTGAGCCCCATGATCGACGTCAATTCCCCACAGGTCGACTTTTTCTTGGTCGATGCACCCCTGCCAGCCGACGCCCCACACAGGTTGACCTTCGAAGGTCAATTTTTCCTTTTTGGTCAAATTCGTGAAGGTCGGCGTCATAAACTTAGTTCATTACTCAGTTGACCCTTTCGTCCATGTGGTTTCATCTACGGAGTAAATGTAATATATTTATATTAATGTGATCTGAAATAATCTACTCCGTATTTAAATCAAATTCTCGCTTTTCATATTTTACGTACTAAACACTTCATTCTTGATTAATTGTAATGATTTCACTTTTACATTATCCACATACCGTGTCTTATAGTTTGACTTTACTTTAGTAGTTTGATTTTATTTTATTTATTAGTAATGAAAAGTTGAAAACTCACTCAATGTGAATTTGAAAATATGATCGTTAACAATTTTTCTAATTGTTAATTACATATAGCAATAATCAAGATCGTACTTGCATTGACAAATGTAGAGATTCAAACGGTTTCAACTTTCATATCAATGAAATGATCTTCAAGTACACCCAATGGTGCTTTCTGTAGGCGATGAAAAACCAGTTAATGCGTTTCTGATTAGGTAGTTTCTATGGTACCCATAAGGTACCGTACCTTTGTCTACATGGACCAATGAAAAGGTAGCAGTTGAATTATTTAAATCTAAATTAAAATTGATAAAGTGATGTGGTCCAATCAAATGAATGCTAGGTATGGTACCTCTGTTTTTAGAAAGATACCGGAGTTGTCACCTTCTGATTATCCCTAGCAAGTTGCAATGTGCAAAAACCCTTCTACTACAAAAGCACCCTTCCCATTTCCATCTAAAACACCAGTCACCCCTAAGAAATCTTACAATTACCTAACAAAAGCAACACATTCCTTGTTCCAGGTAATTAGGCTTAGAGTTGCCTATCCTTGATGAAACAGAACAGCTTTTCACGAAATAATGGTGAGAAAGCACGTATGCCCTCTAAAGAATTTATGAATTCCTCGGCATTCTCCACATTCCCCTGTTTTTCCAGATATTCCACACATATATTCAATGTATCCTTATTAAAATTAGGCGGGCACACTGATACAGCTTTGCGCAAAGCTTCAAGAGCTTTTGTCACTTGATTATCCATGAGATACCCTCCTGCCAAGTGACACCATGTTGCAACTGAAGGGACCCCTCGACTTTCACTCATCCCTCTTTCCAGAAGTTCTTCGGCCTTCTCCAGAAGACCTTTTCTACAGTAAGCTTCAATTAGGTGGTTTGGAATGCGAAAATCATAGGATAAACCCTTTGATTCCCATTCTCCTAAGATTTTCTGTAGACCTTCTATGTCATGTAATCTTGATAAAGCACCCATCATGCTCATGTACCCCTTATTATTGATCTTTTTCTCTTTTTCCTTGAACAAATCCCATATCCGGTAAACTTCTTCTTTATTTCCAAGAACTGCATATTTTGTTAACAGATAAGTATATGCGGAGGAATTTTTGTCTGTCCTGGAAGGTATCAATCCCTCGAGCTTCTTCATCATTTCCAGAGCTTTGTCTAACTGCCCGACTTTTATATACCCTTCCACTATGGCACTGTATGAACTCCAATTTAGAGTGATCTTTGGATTAGATTCCATCATCTCAACTGTTTTATCTATTCCATCACAGTCACCAGCAGCAGCATATGCATTTAGGCGGATACAAACAGTGTACCTGTCATAAGACAAACCCTTTTTGTCCATTTCATTCATTAATTCATCAAGTTTTTCCCATTTTCCCAAACTAGAGTAGAGGTTCATCATAATATTATATGGTAAGGGTGCTTTGGTCCATCCCATATCCCTTAGCTTTTGCATGGTGACTTCTGCCTTTTCTAGAGATTTTGCATGGGCATAGCAATTGAGAAGTGCTATGTGGGGAAAATGGCTTAAATGATGGAATTCGGATTGAGAACAGATTTTATCATTAAAATAATGCTCAACCTGTTCTACACCGTGAACTTTGAAGATCAAATTCATCCGTGCGGCATCATAGAGAGAATCCCTGGAAACATATTCTTTTTCATCCATCCATTCTGACACCTGTTATTACAATCAGAAGCAGAAATGAAAAGACCAATTATTAGTAGAGCAGTGGAGCTAAAACAAGTTATAGTGCATCGTCGGTTCACTATTACTTTATGTGCTATAAGGTCCTTAACTTTCTTTTAGACTCAACTAGGCTGTATAATTTTAACCTATATAAGAAAGGTACTTAGACTACTTTCATATATAGTACGATTCCTACGTTTCAATTAAAGATTTTTTCGATCAATTTAGTTATTAATGTACTGAAATACACTTTTCGATAGAATCCAAATTGGGATCTTATGAACAAATTCGTATGAATACTAGCATGTAAATTGAATCCACAAGAAAGCACAGGACCAAATAGAGTAATAGGGAATAACCTAAGGACTAAATAATACTCGTACTACGTAGTATTAACTCATTATTAGTGTAAATCTATTAAAAGAAGCAAGTTAGGTCAAATTCAAATCGAACAAAAAAATGCAGAGAAGCACAATTGAGCTCAATTACCAAATCAAACAGAACAACTAAATGAAAGTTTAATGCACTCTAACGTTATCGATATGAAATACGATAGTACTACATAAGTACAGATAGAGAGAAATAAGTATATGCAGACCTCAAGGGCATGTTTATATCTTCTGAAACGAGTCAGCTCTTTGATGATTCTATGAAGGTCAGATTTATCAGCATGCTTTCCTTCTTCGATCCACTGATCGAGAATCGGGCGGACAGAGACATTTGGGTCACCAATGGGTGAAATTCTCTTGTAGAGACGGTCAGAACCATAGCGTGGCTTCACTGAAGAAGCTGATGTACAAAAACACTTCAACGAGCTTTGTACAGTGGATTTGAAGTTTGCAGAGTTCAGTATGGTCGAGAGAAAAAGCTTCATTTCTTTAGGGTTTAAGAGCTCTCTGATCAACGAAGAAAGGAGGACATTAGCTGGCTTTTTCTTTTGAACCTGTCAAAAAAACCCGACCCGCAATGACCCGCCATGGCCCGAGACATTTGCGGCAGGTCGGCCCCACCCCGTCTTGCAAATGGGGCGGGTCTGCCCCGCCCCGCCAATACAATGAGGCGGGTCCGGGTATTAGAATTGACGTGTGCCGTCCCGATCCGCCCCGCTCCGCCCCGCCCCGCTCAATATATAAGTATACATACTTTTTCTTAAATTATACTACAAATATACTTCAACATACATATGTGTGTATACAATAAATCATAAATTCTTTGATCTTATAATATATGAATATATGTTATAATGAGATGCACGATGGATTATCAATGTTTTCTTTATATATAGAATTTTAATACATATATTCAATTATTAATATAACTAATTAGATTAACTATTCAAGTTTGAGTAATTTTTATCATCAAAAAAAAGTTTGAGTAATTTTTCCTTGATTTTTGAAATTTTTAGCGTATCATGAATTTGATTTAATATATTGATTTTTAATTATTATTTAGAGATCAAAATTATGTAGATTCAATTGGTAACAACTTCCCACAAATAAAAATACATACTAGCTAATTAGGTTGCGGCGGGGCCGGGCGGACCCGCCCCGCCCCGCATGGGGCGGATCATGGGTCAACAAGTTTGGACCCGTTCAGGTCACGGGGCGGGGCGGACCCGCCCCGCCAAGTAACGGGGCAGGTCCGGGTCTTGCAATACCCGCCCCGACCCATTGTCATGCCTAAACGTTTTCAGTCCCAGACCAGATCAGATCAGACCAGACCAGCAAATTTCAGTCCAAAAGAAAACATCCTAAACTGCTTAAAGGGACCGATTTGGCCGCGTGCCAAATTGCAGTTAGGTCTTATAAATGGGAAATATTACGACTGAATGAGGCAATACATGTGTTTGTATTACTTCTTAAAATTACTTGTGTCACAGAATGAGAATCAAATATTGAAGTGTTTGAGTAAAAGCACAAAAATATTTAAGGTGTTGGAAATTGCTTATAGAAACAATTTTTTAGAAGTGGGGGGAATTGAATCCGCTTTTAAAAAAGAAGTAGAAGTAGAATTAATTTTAAACACCTCATAAAAGAAATTTTAGAATGTCACTCCATTCACTTTGGTCTAAAAAATGCACTCGTTGAGTCTATACCTCTATTTTACATTTTTTACTCCATTCAAATTTTCAACGATATATAAAAGTAGTGTCTAAGCTAGGACAATGAATTATGCCCCGTCATTGTTCATGTTAGAAAATTAACATCTCATAGTTTGATATGAATATAGTTGTTCTCATAGAAAATAGGTTTATAAAGTATCGTTAGAAATATGTGATTACGGGTTCTTTCGAAAAATAGATAGCATTGAAGATTTGATACACGTGTTATGTTGGATTTGTGCACATACAACTACAAGAAAACTCCATTTGAATAATGAGACAATCCGGCGAATAATGAGACTAGCACATGTTATGCGAATTGAGTGAATTATGTGTAGAAGATCAACTGATGCACATAAAAAAGGAATTGAGAAGTGAGAGAGAGGAAGCATGAGGCATAAGAAAGAGACAACGAAAATTAGAGTAGTCACACAAATGATATGGTACTTCCTCGGTTAGATGAGAACATCACTCATATGAGTCATATGACTTTAGAGATGGGGAAATAGGAGAATATAGGTGTGAAAGTCAATGAAGTCCTTTTTTAAGATGCTCTGTCCGGCCGTCGCGATTTGGGCGGTTCCCGGTGAAATTTTTTGATGAAAATTTTTGAGCATCTTATTCATCAAGTCTAGTTTGGTCATACCAAATTTGAGCTAAAACTTCAATCGGGAACGCATTCAAATTCATTCTTAAAGATAATTGTGCAGTTAAATGAGTAGTTATCTTTAAGAATTAGGAAAAATTGAAAATAATAATCCGAACTATTACCGGTCCGCTGATAATAATTCCGACTATTGATTATTTTTGTATAATCCCAACTATGTGGACCGTCCGCCAATAATGGTCCATGACCAAATATTACCTCCTAAAAAAGTGAATTTTAAATAGAAATTAAGTGTAAAAATTAAAATTTGGGATTATTTATAGGGATTGCTTGCTATATCTCTCCTCATCCACTTTAGAAACTACAAGAATTTATTTATGGGGACCATTATTGGCGGATGGTCCCTAAAGTTGGGATTATTCTGAAATAATCGATAGTTGGAAATATTATAAGCGAACTGCCAATAGTTGGGATTATTATTATCAATTTTTCCTAAGAATTAATTTGAATGCGTTCCCGATTGAAGTTTTAGCTCAAATTTGAAACTAGACTTGATGAATAAGATGCTCAAAAGTTTTCATCAAAAAATTCCACCGTAAACCGTCCCAAATCGCGACGGCCGGACAGAGCATCCTAAAATGACTTAATTGATTTTTTTATGAAAGTTCGAAGACATATTTGACAGTTTTCCCTTTATTATACTCCGTACTAGGTATTTGCAAGTCCATTGTCATACGTCAATTGGTGTTAGCTGAAAACAAAACTCTTCTTTATACATCAAATGGGCAAACTTATAACTGCTAGCGAGGCACCCCTGGAATGTCAGATATATCTTCACTGCTAACAATCGACCATCTATAATCACCCCCAATTTCTCAACTTTACTTCATTTTGTTAGCTTTGCATAGGAAGTACTCGTACAAGTTTTGTGGGTCCGAGAGCAAAGATGATAGCAAGACTTGATGAATAAGATGCTAAAAATATTTCATCAAAAAATTCCACCGTGAACTGCCCCAAATCGCGATGGCCAGACAGAGCATCCTAAAAATGGACTTAGTTGATTTTTTTAATGAAAGTTCGAGGACATATTTGACAGTTTTCCCTTTATTATACTCCGCACTACGTATTTGTAAGTCCATTGTCATACGTCAATTGGTGTTAGCTAAAAACAAAACTCTTCTTTATACATCAAATGGGCAAACTATAACTGGTGTTAGCTAAAAACAAAACTCTTCTTTATACATCAAATGGGCAAACTATAACTGCTTGGTGTTAGCTAAAAACAAAACTCTTCTTTATACATCAAATGGGCAAACTATAACTGCTTGCGAGGCACCCCTGGAATGTCAAATATATCTTCACTGCTAACAATCGACCATCTATAATCACCCCCAATTTCTCAACTTTACTTCATTTTGTTAGCTTTGCATAGGAAGTACTCGTACAAGTTTTGTGGGTCCGAGAGCAAAGATGATAGCAAGAAAAACAATGGGTTTGGTTTTGATTGTGTTGGTTATCCTTTCAATTAAAATTCTTATGATCATGTTTGTAATGTAAAACTATTGGCAACCCTAAAGTAGAGTTACATATAATATAACTATACATGGTTATATAATATCATAATTACCTCTTTCCTGACCACGCACGATTACTTATCTTAATATATCTTATTATTCCATTTCAAAATTTCTAACAAGCGATTAATACAAGCATAAAAATAATCAAAAGTACTTTTTTTTTGTGTAATTGCACGTGGGTGTCTTTGTTTTGTGAGGTATATAACATCACACATAACATTACAAATCAAACTAGATCAGGAAACAAGTTAAAAAGAACATGTCATTACTACTAGACTACTAGTCTAGTATCCTTCTATTCCAAAACAAAAAACAAATAAACAATAATAATATATTGATCAAAAAACTGTTTGGACAAAAAAGTACCACGTGTCATCTGATTTTCTAGTCACAACTATCTTATATAACAAAATGATAACCATAACAATCATCATTTTCATCATTTTCATTTACCCCGGTGCCACAAAGGCTCCCCACCTACTGTGGGGTAGGGTGTGTGTGGGGTAGAGGGGGTTGGATGTACGCAGTCTTACCCCAAAACTAAAGCACAAAGAGACAAAATGCTAATCATAATAATAAATAATTAAAAATGTAAATAGAACTAAATAACTAATGAGTTGCATAAACTAGATCTTACCGAAATTTATACAGTAAATATCTTGGACTGAGCATGACAGAAAGTGTATAAGACGGAGGAAGCTGCTAACATATAGCTAAAGGATTAACGTTCAAAGAAACTAGACTGATTTTAAGACGTCATCACAATTTGTAATAGCCCGCACAGGGACACGGGGAAGTTATAAACTTTTGTTCAAATCAAACACAGTGCTTGGACCAAAAACATAACCAAAAATGGAGAACACTAGGTGATAGTCCACAATATGCCTTGCATCTCGGATATTGTTCAACTACTATTTAGCAAAGCAAAGCAAAGCAAAGCAAGCCAGGCAGAAATCATTCTCTTTATATATGTAAATGATTAATACTTATTCAGATAGAATAGACTTGAGCTCACCATTGTTCTTCAACTCCAAAATTATGTCACAGCCACCAATCAGCTCCCCTTTGTAGTAGAGCTGCGGATATGTCGGCCAGTTGGAGAATGCCTTCAATCCCTCCCTCACTTCCTCATCGGTCAATATATCAAATGACCCAAACTCAACCCCCTCCTCATTCAAAGCCTTTACCACCTTCGAGCTAAAGCCGCATCTCGGAGCGTCCGGTGAACCTTTCATGAAAAGCATCACAGGAGAAGAACTCACCAATTCCTTCAACCGTTCATCTATCCCGATAATACCCTTCTCAAGCAAAACCTTCTTGAGCTCCCCACTCTTTTGCATCTCTAATACAATATCAGACCCACCAATGAGCTCGCCCTTTAGGTAAAGTTGAGGATAGCTTGACCAGTTGGAGTAGACTTTCAGTCCTTGGCGAACTTCATCATCTGTGAGGATGTCAAAACTCTTGAAATCAATTTTCTCATGCTTAAGGATGTCCACTACTTTGCGACTGAACCCACATTTGGGCTCCTCAGGCTTTCCCTTCATAAAAAGCATAACTGGGCAAGAATTAACCAGGCCTTCAAGACGGGTTTTTAGTGCAGCACTCAGGCCAGATGGTTCAGGTGATCGGCTTTCAACTTGTGAAGAAGTGGCATTGTCTTTGGCAAGGTTTTGCACTGTCTCTATAATAGTTGCCCCAGCAGCCATTCCTAGGCTAGCTGGAGCAGCAGGTTCTCCAGGTGTTATTTTCCCCGAAAATTTGGAAACCTTGTTGGCCAGAGCAGATGGATCAGCGCCTTCCAGTGTATCTACGGTTTTGCCATCCTATGAGAAGGACGAAAAAACAACCACGAACAGTGAAGATAGTCTTGGAATTATATATACAAGACAGGCAGAAAAACAGAAAAGGTGTCTCGATTTAATCATTTAATAAACATAGAGATGTCGTGCATAAATGTAGAGCCTGAAACCTTGTGACTTAGAGACTGACAGGGAAGAAAAAATATTGATGAGATAAAACAACACATATAGTATAGCAATACGAAAGGGGTAAGCATAATCCTTTCTATAGCATTTTCCAAGATCATAAGCATACCCTAAGGACATGTTTACTTCACCGGTTATTAAACGGTGCTTATTAAGACCCGTGTTAATAAGCGGCGCATAAAATAAACAATGTTGTAAGACCGTGTTTACTTCAAACGGTTTAAAACACCGCTTAACATTAAAATGTCCAAAATAACCCTATACATATATATATACACACAAACATTCATGAACACAATTATATAATATGTGTACCCATACCCCCTACCCCCGACCCCACCGCACCTAACCTGCCCCTAGCGCCTCTATCACATTGGCCCCACCCCGACCCCACCACCCTAGGCCCCTACCCTGCCCCCAACCCCTAACCCCCTACCACATCAGCCCTACCTTGACCCCACCTTACCCCACCTTACCCTACCTTATCCCGACCCCGCCCCTACCCCTACCCTACCCATACCCCGACATCACCCCCCCGCTAACCCCCTACACCCTCGACCCCACCCTACCCACAATCCCTTCCCTTACCGATGTGGTAAGGGGTAGGTGTTGGGGTAGGGTGGTAAGGGCCCTAGGGGTAACAGTAAGGGGGTAGGGGTGGGTTCGGGGTGGGACCAATGTGGTAGGGGGTTGGGGTCGGGTTGGGTGGGGTAGGTAGGGGTAGGTAGGTATAGGGTAAGGGGTGGGGTCGGGGTATAGGGTGGGGTGGTGTAGGTGGGGTAAGGTAGGGTGGGTCGGGTAGTCGGGTAGGTAGGGTAGGGGTGGGGGTTGGGTAGGTAGGGTAGTGGTCAGAGTAGGGGTAGGGTGGGGTCGGGGTAGTGGTAGGGTGGGGTCGGGTAGGTAGGGTAGGGTGGGAGTAGGTAGGGTAGTGGTAATCGGGATAAAGTAGGGTGGTAAGGTGGGGTCAGGGTGGGGTCGATGCGGTAAGGGCCTGTGGGGGTAGGGGCCTATGGGGTCGGGGGTAGGGTCGTGGTGGGGACAGGTAGGGTGGGGTAAGTATAGGGTCGGGTAGGTAGGGTAGGGGTAGGGGTGGAATAGGGGGTATGGGGTGGGTGGGGTCGGGGTAAGGTAGGGTGGGTAACGGGTTAGGGGGTAGGGTAGGGGTAGGGGTGGGTCGGGGTAGGGGTAGGGTAGGTGGGGTCGGGGTCGGTAGGGTAAGGGTGGGGTTGGGTTCGAGGTGGGGTCGGGTAGGTAGGTGGGGCAGGGGTAAGAATAAGGTAACGGCAAGGGGTAAATTCGGAAACTGAAAAAGCTTAAAGTGCCGCTTAATTAATACATGGGGGTGGTATGCTTAATAAGCGGCACTTTAAGCACCTCTTTCGATTAGTAAGCGGCTTTTTAAACAGCGTGCGTGTTTACTTCACCTGTCTTACTAACCTAACTGTGACTTTAGCAGTGAAGTAAACACCTCCTAAAGGTATTGAAGGAACAAAAGAGTTTGTGTATATCAAAGTAGAGAAATATAGCATAATCCTGAAGCCCCACGACTTATATTTTGAAACATGTTGCATAAATGTCTGATGACTGCTAGGGTAGATAGATAACTTATCAACCACATGGGCCACGTGATTTCAAGCCATGAGGGAAATTCTAAAATGGTACACCTATGTTTCAGGAACAAGCATTTATAGCATCACTTTACGTAGGTGAGATGCTCACAAATTTCTAGTTTACACATATGCAAATAACTAATTGGGGAAAATGAATTCAATAAGGGAACAAATAAAAATAATACTCCGTAATTCTCATGCATATGATCTAAAATAATCTGTTCCCATGTTCCATACACAATCAACCACATAAATGAACAATGAGATTAAACACGAAGAAAAACACATGCTGCAGTACACACAAACATTCAATAAAAACACATCGAGTTACCTTGAAGAAAACAAAATAAGGAACTGCTGAGACTGAATATGCATCTGAAATTTCTGGCTGCTCTTCAGCTTCAACCTATAGTTGCATAAGGGGTGTATTAAATGTGTGCATGTGTCAAATTAGGGGAAGAAGAGAATATCAATACCCGAAAGCGATAATATAAGAGCACCCAATTAAGGATACATAATGGCAAGCAATTCTCATGTGCAAACTTGTTAACAGCGTCCAAAAGCGACAAACCACAGGCGAGCGCTATACCGCTGCCTGGCTTTTGAGAAGCGCACCACCATGAGAAAGCCCAGTTTTCCGGCACTTTTCTTGAGCTCGCTTTTCATAAAAGCGACCGCTTTTCAGAGCTTCTCACAAAAAGCGGTCATTTGAACGGTCATTTTTTTTAAAAAAATAGTGTTGTCATCTCGTCGCTAGAAGTTAGAATTATCAAGTTTAGACTTTAGAGTCGTTCAACTCTTTTCACACTCCAGAGTCCAGCCAAAGCTGCAGGTGAAGCCGTGAAGAAGCCGCAGGGTGAAGAAGCCGCAGATGAAGAGGAGTTCTCCGCAATTGAAGAAGTTGAGCCGGAGGTTCTATTTCATCCAAAGTCTGAACATCAACTCACTTTTACTCTGATTTTAGTTTGAAAACTTTCAGCCTTTCAGCCTTATCACAGAGATCTTCACCTCACTTTTACTCTGTTTTTTACTGATTATGGAATTCCAGTTTATTCCACTAAATTAAATTCCAGTTCATTTCTTTCAGTTTATTGATTAATTAATTTTTAGTTTATCCCAGTTTATTACTTTCAGTTTATTGATTTATTAATTTTAAGCTTTTTTCAGTTTTTTCCTTTCAGTTTGTTTAATTAATTTTCAGTTAAATCAAGTTTATTACTTTCAGTTTATTAATTAATTAATTTTTAGTTTATTACTTTATTCCAGTTTATTCATTTATTATGTGGCGCCATGTTGTTTGGTTTTCTTATTTGTTCCATGGGATTTTGTTGAGTACTCGGTTTTAAGAGAGAATTCCAGCTTCCACTTAAATTATGTCATCTTTGGAACCAACTCCTAATGTGCTTTTGCTCTGAACCTTGCTGTCTTCTTGCTTGGGGGGAAGTCGGAAGACTTCTGCCTTACCATGAATGTTGCTGGAGTGGTTAAGGATTGGTTGTTGATTGTGTTTTCCTGGTCTGTGATTAAAGACACTGTCACCCCAATCAACCTCTTTGGTTATGGATTACCTTTCTTGTGTGTGGCATACTACAACCACCCAAAACTACAGGCACTTAAGAGCTATGAACTAGTCACAGAAGAAGGCTTCTCAGACTGATGATGAGGAAGCTGGCAGGTTGTTAGAGGAAATGGAAGGGGAGAATGTACCTAAAAAGAATGAATCACCCTAATAAGACCACACTATATGAGTGTTAAATGGGTTTTTATTAGGGTGGGATGTTTATGGAGGGCAGAGCGGAAAAATGAAAAACAGATGGCATTTGGATTTTGGCGTGAAGAATGTTTTCTCACTTTATTGTGTGATGAATGTTTTCTCACTTTATGCCGCACTAGTATTATTCTTAATAACTATTATGACTACTTAAGCATTTTTGGCTTAATTATACATTATATTGTACATTTTTAAGCATCGCTTTTTGTGAGAAAGCTACGCTTCGCTTAAGCTTTTGGACGGTTTTCGCTTAAAAAAGTTTGCTCACGTGCAGCAACATATAAATACAGCATTCATGATTTCAAGGTCAAGCGAATCAAATAAAAATTAAAAAAAAAAGTAACATAACTAAGGTCAAATGTGATTAACTTCATTTAAACAAGTTTAGGAAGGAATAATTTACCATGGATAGTTAATAAAGGGGGAAAGTAGACATTTTTTTGTATAAATAAGAAACTGTGCTCAATCTGATAGGACTGCTCTAGTGATATTCTTCTGAGTTTAGACCTTACACTATAAGTCAGTTAGGGAGTTGGTTTCAGAGAGTTTTGGAATGGTGGGCTACGTGTATAAATTGATATACATTTGAGGGATTCTCATATAAACTGAAGAGTACCACAATTACTGATAAAACAATACTGTGATTGCCCTTTATTTGATTTAGAAACATTCTTCTATAGAGTAAGCCTTCAAAACCTTCTGCGCTAAACCCATCAAAAACTCTCCATTCAAACAGACACTAAAGTTTATAGATAACTTATCTTCTAAGAAAGGTATTGGCCATCCTAAAAAAGGTCGTACTTATACTCAATAACGTCTCCAAACCTCATCACATTTAAAGCTCCATGAACAAAAAGAATATATTCATCTCAGGATAATTAGAAAAAGAAAACATTTTAACCATTCAATAAACAAAAGACTTACAATTTACCATGACCCATAGCTCTCTCACGATTTTAGCATTAATTTTAATAATTCTAAGTCGATTTATTCACATGACAGCATAACCACAACAGACACACGCAGAAGGCATATGATTTGGGCATGGGATAAAGGCTTACCCTGAGGAAGTGAGTATGAGGGAAATCAGTGGAGAGGTGGGAGAAGACTTGGTCCATGTGCTTGGAAGCCTCACACCATGTGGCCCAGAAGTGCACAACCACCGGCGACCCATCGGCGATAACCTTGTTAAGCTCTTCCTTTGATTTCAACTCCTTAACAACTCCACCCATCCTTTCTCCTTCGCCTTTCTCTCTCAAACACTGAACTGCAAAATCCGCTCTACTCTGACGGGATTTTAGGAATCGCAAAAAATCAGGCAAAAATTGTAATTGCACGCAGGGGAGAAAATAAATACGCGTAAGTCATACCACACAAATGTTCATGTCAGGAGTTCCTGACCTTCCGGGTGGAATTTTTTGATGAAATTTTTATCACATGTTCTCCATCAAGTCTAGTTTATCCACAAAAAAATTCAGCCAAAAACTCAATCGGGAAGATCATCAAATAATTTTTGCAAGTTAACTGGTCCAGAATATGTATTTTCCGGACCAGTTAACTTGCAAAAATCATTTGACGACCTTCCCGATTGAATTTTTGGCTGAATTTTTTTGTGGATAAACTAGACTTGATGGAGAACATGTCATAAAAATTTCATCAAAAAAAGCCACCGGGAAAGCGGCCAAACGTCGCGGTCCGGACGGCGGTTCCGGTCAGGAACTCCTGACCGGATCATTACTCAGTCATACCATTTCTTTTTCCCTTTCTTTTTTCTTTAGGCCACTTACTTGGTACATTAATTGTTAGCCCATTAATTGATCCAAAAAAAAGTTGAATCGCCAAGCCCAATCGCCCCCCACACCCCGACCCGACAGAGCACATGGGAGGATGTAAGTCACGGTAACTCAGTCAGCAGAGTGGCAGTAGGCTATACACCCGTGCGCACCAGAGGTCCAAACTTATTTCAGGTTCTGTAACATCCACCCAGTCGCTGCGGGGATTCAAACCTTGGTCATTGATACAAATTTCCCACCACTTGACCAACTGAGCTGCCCGTGCGGGTTGTTAGCCCATTAATTGATTGCATTCCTTGGTACATACTCCGTAAAAAGTATTGGGCCTCTAAACGCATGCTTGAAAGTTGAAACATTGTACTTCATACATGGACGTTCATATAGTGATACAAGGTCTAGGTGTTCTTTTTGGAGTTTTTTCTGAATTAATGCGAATTAATTACGTATTTATCAAAATAATATTGGGTTAAATGTATTTATCAATATACCGGTGGGTTTAATCCGGGTTGGGGTAAGTCGCCAAACCGGATGGCGACTTATAAGTTGTCAAACCGTTTGGTGACTTCACTTCCCCTTGCACCTGCAGCATCAGTAAAATCACAAACAACCAAATACATACCATTACAAATAACACAGAGAACAGAACGGAATTACAATGACACACAACAACACACTTGCTCCCAATAGGGCCGGTCTCGAGAAAAAGAGGGCCTGGTGCGACAAAAAATAATTGGGCCTTTTCTTCACGTTCCACTATTGGATTGAAGTACGGAGTACCATTTACCATGAAAATTCAGTTTAAAAATTTTCTATGCTTCGGTTCAAAATTCTGTACATGTTTGAAAACAATTACATTGTTTTAATCCTGTAATCATGTACATGTTTAAAAAAAATTAAAATTCTATAAGTTAAAATTCATTTAAACTTTTGGTGAACTCATAAGACTTTAATATAACTACTAGTATAGTTTATAAACCTAAAGATAGTAGAAAAGAAATCGTACAACTTCTTGGAGTCCAACTCTGCGGCAACATTGCTGATGAAAAACAGTCTTGTAAACTAACAAACAGAACCCTTTTGATTTCCCTGTATTCTAATCCAACCCCAAAGGTCCTTCTTTGATCTCACCGTATTTAGAAAATATAATTACTCCCTCCGTCCCAATTTGTAAGATACATTACGGTTTACGATGTTTGACTGACGATAAAGCAAATTGATCCCTGTCAACACTCAAATTAGTTCTAGAAAATAAAATAAACATATTCAGAAAATACATTAAAACCGCTACAAAGCGTGCGAAAAATAATTCAAATTTCATAAACTTTTGATATATAAAATAAAAGATTACGAGTGATTTATGTTGATCAAGTGAATAGTAAATGTATCTTACAATTTGGGACTAAGGGATTATAATTTATTTATAAACCTAAAGTCTAAAGAAGTAAAGAAGGTAGTTACCTAATAAAATACTTATACAAACTTCTTAAATCGTAATGGTTAAGCACGCTTATTATCGTTTATCAATTCAATTACTCACTGTCAGTAGACAATAAATAAACAAATAACAACAAGGCAAGTAGGTCACAACCTAATTTCAGTAATTTCACTAATTTGAAATTGACGAAATCAGAAACAAATAACTACCGGACTGTTGGTCTGTGGTAGTGTGGAGTGCGGGTGGTGTGGTCGTGGTTCTGGAGGCTGGAGGCTGGAGGCTGGAGGCGGGGCGCGGTAGCAGGGTGGCGCTGGGCGGCAGCGGTCCTCGGTCAGACGTTCACTCTTCCTACTTTCACATTCAAGCGACGCTTTCTCTTCCAGTGTTCCGCAAGCTTCCTCCTGGCGGATTCTTTTGCTCCGTATTTCCTTAAAAGCTACAGACTTGGGCTGGCAGATAGTTCTAATACTAGGGGGAAAACAATTGGGCCTTCCAAAAAATTGAGCCCTGTGCGATTGGGCTGGCTACCCCTGTCCAGGGCCGGCCTTGCTCCCCAATGACACACTATTGAAAAGTTGGAGAAATCTATATTCTAATAACAGTACATCACGATAATTGATGAGTACACATTAATATACACACTTTTTTTACCATTAATATACACACTTTATAGTTTATACTAGGAGTGGGCATAACGGTTTGGTTTAACCGAACCGAACCGTACCAAACCGAACCGAAACCGGACCGTATGCAATTTGGTTTGAGTTTGGTACTATTTCTTCCAAACCGTATTAAACTGAACCAAACCGAAACTGATAAAAACCGAACAAAACCGAACCGAACTAAAGAAACTCAAAAAAACTTTCATATATTATTAAAATTGGTGGTTTGATTTGGTTTGGTTTGGTTTGGGTTTACTCAAGTAAACCGTTTGATAAACATTTGCTCAAACCGAATGGTTTGGTACTTTGGTTTGGTTTGGTTTAAAACGTAAAAACCGTAAACCGAACACCGAACAACATATATATATATATATATATATATATATATATATATACACTTTGTATTTATCTTCACTCTTCATTTTTAAGATATAAATAAATAATTTAGACATGAAAATACATATTTAAGCATATACTCGTATCATTTTAACTTTTACACATTTCACACATTCATTATGACAAAGTTAGCTAATACGACATATTTGTTTTATGTTTGGCAATAAAAATAACAAATTCCATTTATATTTTTACATGATTCATTTGAATAAAATTGTGAATATTACAACATTTGTACCACCAACTCTTTTAGGTTTTTTTGAATGTTTTATGTGATATTATCAATGCCAATCAACTATCTTGTTTTTTTTATGAAGTGAATTTTTGTAGTGATAAAAAATATGTTAGAAGTTTTAATTTATAATATTTATTATTTATTTTTCTATCTTTTATTTCCTTTTACATTTTATTTAAGTAATCAATAATTTAAAAAAAGATGAGACGGACTACTACTTTCATTTTCTAATTCTAAAATATAGAACTTCATCAAATAAAATAATAAACATAAACAAACGAATCAAATCAAACTAAATTAAACATAACATTTTTTACTTTATTAAACCGAACCGAAACCAAACCGAAACACAAATGGTTTCAGTTTGGTACAAATTCTCCCAACCCGAATAAACCGAAATCGAACCGAAACCGAAGAAAACCGAACCGTAAACCGAATTGTCCACCCCTACTTTATACACCCAAAATTCAACATTTCATATACATAACAACATATTTAAATACTCTCATATTTAAGAAAATCTTATTAGATATACCACAATTAATAAAATCAAAATAATACATTTTTCAAAAAAAAATTATACCCGAGTATTAAAATTCACATTACACCAAAAATCCACACCAACATCAAAATATTACATTAAATTCAACATTAAAATTCAACATTTCATACATCCACATTTCACAACAAATCAATTCCTAATCTAAAAAATCCAAATTTATACATTCTAAACCCTAACTTGAAACGTGAGATGAAATGCAGTTTGATTTACCTAGAGGAAAGAGTTTTGAAGAAGATGGAGGTGCAGTATCCTTGGCAAGGTGGAGGGAGTTGCCGTCGAATCTCCTATTTGGAGTTGGAGCAGCAGGTCTGAATCCCCGGAGTTGGAGCAGCGGGTGAGATTTTGGGATGATTTTCAATTTGTCTGCAGTCTGTTGGCCGACCCATCTTTTTTAATAGGAAAGTCGCCAAACGGTTTGGAGACTTACCCCCATCCTTATTAAGCCCAACAGTATATCGGTAAATACCTAACTAATTAAAAAAAACTCTTTTTTTTGGAAAGGTATAGGTTTCATACACCAAAATTATTCATGTAATTTAAAAATTCATCAAACCCTATGTATTATTCATGCATACCGGAAACGTTTTTGCGTCTGATAAGATACTCATACTATACGTTTTGGATCGTGTTTGAAGTTTTTTTTTTAAGTTTCGAAAATCGTTATGTGATTTTTCGGGTAACTAGATACACAAATAGAACTTTTATTATTTTAAAGTATTTGTGTTTTGTTTTCGTAGTATACTTTCTAACCTAAGAAGGGAAAACTATCAAATAGGTCTCCGTACTATACTCAAAAAGTCAATTGAGTCCTCATACTATTAAATCATTCAATTACATCCCCAACTTTCAAAAAATGTTCAAATCCCACATTCAGCCAGTAAATAACCGGTTAAAGGTTAAAAATGTACCTGTAGCACCCACGTGGCAACTACTTTTCTATCTATTTCTCTTTACTTTTCTATCTATCTCTTTACTTTTCTATCTATTTCTCTCCCCCCTTTCTTCGCCCATACATCTTCCTTCCAAGCTTCAAATTGCACCAAGCTTTTTTTTTCTTTTACATTTGTTTGTTCTTCTCTTTTACTACATATTATATAATTCTTGCTATACCCTCCCTCCATCTCCCTGATAGGGCGCTAGCAACGTGCAACACCTGCACGCCGACTGCGGACTCCAGCAAAAGGCTCTGACATATGACTCCAGCAACAAACGCCGACAATGGAGTCGGTAAGCTCCATGCTGCTCATTCCCTCGCCACAGTGTCTCCCTTCATCAACAATCATGAATCCCATCGAAGCCCAAAGAGTGAAAGATATGAAGAGGCAGAGGTCTTTGGCAGTTGTTACCAACTACCAAATAAGAGAATCATTAGAGAACAGAGGAAGAAGTCCTGGATCTCAAAGAAGAAAAAGAAAACTGAAAGAGAAAAAACAGGAAAGGGGGAAGGAAATACAAGGGAGGAAATTGGTGAAATTGGGGGAAGGGGTTAGTGGCAGTTGGTGAGAGTAGACGGAGAACTCACTGGAGAATATGGATCTAGAGAGCAGAGAGACAAGAAATTAGAAAACTGAACAAACAGAATGGAGGAAGAGAGGTAGGAAGGAAGGAAGGAAGGAGAAGAAGAAAAAAGTTGCAGGTCGTACTCGTACAACCTGGGAGAAGGAAGGAAACATGGAGGAGAAAGGAGAAGGAAAGGAAAAAAAAAAGAAAATGAAAAAAAAAATGGTGCCACATAGGCATCCATGTCAGCAATTACCGGGAGTAAATATTACCAACCGGCCAAAACGTAAAATTGAGCATTTTTTATTAGTTGAGGGATTTAATTGGTTGATTTAATAGTACGAGGACTTAATTGACTTTTTAGATATAATAGGAGGACTTATTTGACAGTTTTCTCATCTAAGAACTTTGAGTACATTCAATTTATTTCCATTTATAATTGTTTGACTTGTTTCTTATTTAATACTGAAGACTACAATTCAAGAGGGCAATGCAAATGTATTTGAAACTATAAAAATCATTATTTTGTGACCATTTTCCAGTGTCATGATAATTTGAAATGGTTCAATGCCAAGAAATGAATAGGTAAAGTTGAGGATAGCTTGACCAGTTGGAGTAGACTTTCAGTCCTTGGCGAACTTCATCATCTGTGAGGATGTCAAAACTCTTGAAATCAATTTTCTCATGCTTAAGGATGTCCACTACTTTGCGACTAAACCCACGTTTGGGCAAGAATTAACCAGGCCTTCAAGACGGGTTTTTAGTGCAACACTCAGGCCAGATGGTTCAGGTGATCAGCTTTCAACTTGTGAAGAAGTGGCATTGTCTTTATCATGACACACGTCTCCTCTATCCTGGCTTGTAGGGTTGCGCATAATCCGGACCGGACCGGAAAACCGGGCCGAACCGGACCGGTCAGTTTAGACTGGACCCGGACTAGATGGATAGCGGTCCGGTCTTCGGTCCAAGGATTTTACCGGTTCCGGTCCGGTCCAAAACCCGGAATAATCTAGTCCGAACCGATTAGACCGGAGTTTAATTATTATATTTTATTTATTTATTTATTTATTTATTTATTTATTTATATATGTATTAAATTTGTATACACACATACTTCGTACATAGTACTTTAATTAATTTACTTAAGAAATACATTTATTAAGGGATGCAATACTTTAGACATTAACTAAAGCTACATACTCCGTACGTAGTATTATTTACATATTTACCCTAGTAAAATTTTTTGGTATAAAAATATTAAGAGTTGGAATATAAATGTGCACTGTAGTTACTTATATTACTTGTATTAACCATAATGCATAGTGATTAATTGAATTCATCTTTGTTAAATACTCAAAGCTATTGAATCAAATTATTCACTAAGTCAAACAAACAAGAACATTAGTTTCCAATACTAAATATTAATATGGTCATTTATCATTCAAACTTTAGGATTTTTTACAAAAATATTACAGAATATTAAAATGAAACGTATGATTTCATTACTACTCTAATAACTAGTCATACTTTAGTAAACAATCTTTATTTTAACCATAAATATGTAATTATTTCATATGTAAATTTACATATTTTTGTAAATATGTAAATTTTCATTATTACTTTATGTGACCATAAAAAGGTCTGATTTATGCTTTGATACTATGGGTGGACCGGGCCCGGTTCGGGCCTGGGCCCGGCCAGGCCTCGGTTCAGAAATGGGAGACCCGGAACCGGGCCAGGTAATCCCGATCCGGGCCGGGCCTCGGTTCTATTTTTTTTTTTGGCTTTTCCTAATTAACCCCCAGCCCTCCCCCTCACCTCAAATGGCCCAAAATACCAAGCCCAACCCAAAAACTTAAAAAAAATTCAAAAAAAAAAATAATTTGGCCCGAACCGGGCCCTTTGGCCCGAACCGGCCAGGCCAGTTCGCCAATCAAAGGGCCCGGGCCCGAACCGCACAGTAACCGGGCCGGGCCGACCCGAACCGCCCCCCGGACCAGTTCCCGAGCCAGGCCGGTTCAAACAGTAACCAGGCCGGGCCGGTTC